CCTGGTAAATTTACTGTGGCAGTGGAGATATTTGCCATTCTGGCCTCTAGTTTTGGACTAATATTCTGCATCTTTGTTCCTAAATGTTTCATAATCGTGTTTAAACCAGAGAAGAACACAAAAAAATATTTAATGGGCAAAAATGAATGTAAATAAAGCCAGAAGAAAGTTTTAGAATCTGAAAAAAAAAAACTGAGAAAAGCATAGAAATTATAATACTCATTTGATTGTTCTTTCCATTCTTCACTGAAACGGAAATAAAATGATTGATAATTAATCATTAAATTCTTGCTTAACCATGGAATTATCTTTTTGTACTCTTCACTTTTTTATTTTTCCAATCCAAGATAAATTGGAAAAACTATTTGAATTATTTATAATCTGAAGTCATAAGTATTTGCATCACATTTAATTCAAGATATGTTTGGGTTTTCACAATTTAAAAAATAAATAAATAAAAAAATACATTATTTCAACACTAACTTAAAAGAAATTCCAGAAACACATTAATGAGTTTCAAAGTATAAATACCTTTTTTGCCTTTTAGATTTTGATCATAAGACTACACATTCATATGTTTTGATTTATTTTTAGATAAGGTGATTGTGGCTTTTCAATTTTTTTCAATTAATGTTTGTAATTTATTTTGTTTTTGAGAGTTATTATGTTACTGCCATCAGATGTTTTAACTGCTTCCTCAATAACAACTCCATTTGCTTAGAATCATGGATGGATAGATGGACCATTGGCTAACAACGGCCATAGCTTCAAAAACTATATTGACAGAGGTCATTATCAAGTCCACATAGACATGAACTCAACCACTTACACGAATAAAATTAAGTTGAAAACAAGACTTTTTCAATGTGTACAGCATCTAACCTTTCATCCAACACGCATTTTCGGCTCTTAACTACATAATGGGGGAAGCTTATCAACACAGAGGGCCCTCGCCTCTACACTGTCTGGAAGGAGCAGGTTTTGGTCCCATAGTTCATCAGCTTATGAATCCAGTTTATAGACCTTCTTTTAACTTCCAAACTTCCAAGCCCCATTCATTTTGTGGATTTGTTGAAGTCCCACAACAACAATAACAACAGAGAAGAAGCTGATCATTAGTTAGAAGACAATAAGAGTGCACTTTTAGGAAATTTGCCCCCATCTTTGGTTTTATTTCCAACTGCACTTAATATCTATTAACAAATTTGATGCCTTTAGAAGCTGGTCTACTTCATTTGTTTAAATATTGTGTAATTGTAATTTATTCTTGAGTGACTTTTATTCGGGTTCTATGGTTGATGGAAAATAAATATATGAAAACATGTGGGAGAATGAAATGACTCTAAAAGATGACTAGCTGTGGGCATTTCCCTCTCTGGCTGACAACAGACGAGGTATAAAACCAATGAAAGATCAGTTACACCCACATACTCTTGAGGGATGGGGACTGAAGTTTTTTTGGTTGGCCTTACATTGGCTCTTTGTTTGTTTGAAGGTAACCCATCAGGCACCCTGGATCAACCTCTGACACACAGGACTGGGCCTACAGAGGCTGGGACCGGGGGAGTCAGAGATAAAAAATCATTTGAGAAATGTAGTCTGCAGGGTGCTGTTCGTTTACCGGTTCTGTCAATGAATGGGGACTATGTTGTTGGAGGTGTTTTCTCCATCCACTTCAGCATCCACACTGCGATTCATAACTACACCAGCAAGCCTGAGCCGCCACAGTGCACGGGGAGGTTAGTGAGAGAGGATGAGATGGAGGAAGGACAAAAAACTGTATGAATGTGGACATTGTAATGTAAAGTCAAGTCCATAGAGCCTTTATGATGTTTTTGCAATGATTGGTTTAGCCTCGTTCACTAAGAGATGAACAGGTTGTTCCAATTATGACTTAATTTGACAAAACAAAATTAGGACGTTGCTGTTAGTTTATAACTTATTCTGATGTTATTGGCTTAAATTGACTTGGTCTTATCACATTTCAGCCACAGATAAATTTTAGACAGTCTGGCCAACTACAGATCAGTTCCTCTTTGTAACTTTCTCGTTTACTTCTTGCAGCGTTGATGCCCGTGAGCTTCGCTTCTCTCGTGCTATGATCTTTGCCATCGAGGAGATTAACAACAGCACCGAGCTGCTGCCAGGCATCAGGCTCGGATATCAGATCCATGACTCGTGTGGCTCCGTGCCAGTGGCTGTGCACGTAGCGTTTCAGCTCTCCAACGGCCTTGAACCCGCGTTTCACCCCGGTGAAAGCTGCTCCAGATCTGGTATGGTGATGGGTGTTGTTGGTGAGTCTGGGTCCACGCCATCCATCAGCATATCGCGCATTATCGGGCCCTTCAACATTCCTCAAGTAAATATTTTGAATTTCCTTCTCCGTGTTTAAACCATGATTCTGAACATTCTGAAAAACAATATTCAGCCTTGGTATAAGTTTTTCCTATTCTTTTTTCTTTTTCTCACGTTTCTATCGACTTATGGCATTGTTCTTTTTTATTTATATATTTATTGTTGTGCAGATTAGTCACTTCGCCACATGCGCCTGCCTGTCAGATAAGCAACAGTACCCGACCTTCTTCAGAACTGTTCCCAGTGACCAGTTCCAAGCTGTGGCTCTGGCCAAGCTGGTGAAACATTTTGGCTGGACTTGGATTGGTGCTGTTCGGTCAGACTCGGACTATGGCAACAATGGCATGGCGTCTTTCCTCGAGGCAGCACACAAAGAGGGGATCTGTGTGGAATACTCTGAATCTTTCCATCGCACCAATCCGCCCAGCAGGATCAAGAGAGTAGCTGATATCATTCGCAGGTTGCACTGATTTAATTTAATTACATTTTTAAAATTTGTCTAATTTCAAATATTTTGACACTGTCTGGTTTCAGCCCAAATTTTCCTTAAAAAAAGGGTAATTTGTATTTGAATGACATGATACACATTTTGTCTTCCAAAAGAAACAACAAGTATTATTCTATGCTTTTTATAAAGAAAACAACACAATCTATTTTTCCCATTTCAAGACAATGTAATATATTTTCAGCTCAACTGCTGTGGGTATTGTGGCATTTACATCTGGTGGAGATATGAAAGTCCTGTTAGAGGAGCTGGCCAGGGACCCTCCACTTCCTCGTCAGTGGATCGGCAGTGAGGCCTGGGTAACTGATCCAAACTTGTTGAGGTTTGGTTTCTGTGCTGGGGCCATTGGATTTGGGATTCAGAAGTCTGTGATCCCAGGTCTGAGAGACTTCCTGCTGGATCTGTCTCTCTCTGAGGTGGCTGCCTCCCCACTGCTCACTGAGTTCTGGGAGGATGCATTTAACTGCAAACTGAGAAAACGTGAGAACATCCTTATTTACAAAGAAATCTTTTCAATTTATACTCATAAACTTGTGTGATGGAGTTGTATGTCAGATGAAATAGCCAATCCAATGTTGTAACATACACCTTTAAACTTCTATTATAGTCTTAACAACAATGAAAAACATTGACAGTTACACAATTACATGATCACTTGACTTACATGCTTTTTGTTTTGTTTGTATATAGAAATGTCTGTGAGATGCTGGTTATAAATGTAATATACCTTCTCAAAATGAAACCACCTGCCTCTGTCTCTGCATGTCTGCAGATGCTGCTGTAGGTGAGAATGTGTGTGATGGAACTGAAGACATAAAGAAGCTCCAGAGTCCGTACACAGACACATCTCAGCTGAGAATTACCAACATGGTGTACAAGGCTGTTTATGCAATAGCACATGCCATTCACAATGTTGTGTGTCAGAAAACAAACTCCACATTTCAGTGTGACAAACACAGCAAGTTGGATTCAAAGCAGGTCAGTGGAAATAAAGAGTGAGCATGATATCTTTTCTTAGGTTTGAAACAAACTTCATTGAAATGTAATTGTTCATTTTATTTAATACTATGTTATCTCTCCCTTCTTTTCTTTTATGTAATTTAAAACTCTCAGGTCTTACATGAACTGAAGAAAGTCAACTTCTCCAAGAACGGTTATGATGTGTCATTTGATGCTAATGGGGATCCTGTTGCTTTTTATGAACTGGTCAACTGGCAAATAAGTGATAAGGGAGTCAATGAGTTGGTAACAGTAGGATACTATGATGCATCACTGCCAAAGGGCCAGGAGTTTCGTATTAACAGGAACCTGTCCTGGGTGGAAGGGAGTGAAAAAGTAATGAAAACTGCTTAGAAAAAGAAACAAAATAACATTTCCATCTCAGCTGTGTTTGTGAAAGCTTCCTGTGTTATTTTGCCTGTGTCTCTGTGACAGGTGCCGGTGTCTG